TTCACTTGACAGTCAAACTTAGCAGTTAGTCTTCTTCCTCAGCCCTCCCGTGAAACGATGACAGGGCGACGACGGCGGAGTAGGGAAGGGATGACAGGACGGTCTAGCTGACGGGGAGGGTGGGGTGAAAAGGTGCACGTCGAGAGAAGAAGGAGAATTATGGGAAAGGACGGATAGAGGTGGTAAAGAAGGAGGGCAAGAAGGCAGCGTGACAAGGCGGAGAGCGGCGCACGAGGTGTGAGTGACACGCCAGTGGAGAGATACCAGACAACGTAGGATGGGCGGAGGCAGGGAGGAGAGGAGCGGGAGGATGGCGGAGCGGATCGATGAAGGTTCATCTATAATGCAGAGAGGCCAGTGGAAGAGTATATTTGTGTGGGCAGGATTTAAGACGCTGACTTGTTTCTGTGTGTGTTGCCTTCAGAGGAATTGTGTATAAACCATATGAGTGAAAACATGAGAGCTTGTACAAGCAGCTGCTATGTTTTTTTTCCTGAGTCATGTTTGAACAAGGAACTATTTGCTCAGGCAGTTGTCAAAAATTGAACATGTTAATGTGTGATTACTTACAAGTATTTCTAAACTCTATGGTTGGCTCCTGTACAAGCACCCTGCAGGTGCAACTATTTTTTGAGGTGTTTATTGATGCTAATGATTGTTTACCTACCATGTAATTTGATGCATTTGCTTAAATTTCAAGAGTGTTTACATACTTGCATCTTTATACCGAGTTCCTGTTTTGCATTGTTTATTTTTAAAGTTTTGTTTAAAGGTTATTAGCAGGAAAACTTTGCCTAAAGTACATATTTACTTGGCTAACTTGGATTAAATGAGCATGAATCTGTCAGTCCTTCCTACAGCCTGAGGTAGGAAGGACAATTTTATAATTTTGAACAGTTCCAATATAAAAATGTCACACTGGTTGAATTAAACCTTTATTTTATAAGACTTTAAAATGTCCTTGATGCATCCTATGCATATTTGGGCCTTTGGAAGAGAAATTGGTCCACATGGTTACAGATCCTCCACTGAGGTTTCCATTTAGTGGTTTCACAACATCTGTTTCAGGTCAGAGAATGAAACACTTTTGTTTATGGAGACTAAAGTTCCTACAGATCTTTAAACGATCTGAAAAGGTACATTAATTTCTTTTAAATCTGTTTGCAGTTAAATTTAGCTAATTTTTCCCATCAACACAATAAAATTGTGAAGGATGTTCTTTGTAAATAATTATTTAATGACAGTGTGACTGTAGTTTTAACAGTTTTGAGTTGTTTGAAATAGAAAAAGTCTACTGGATCTTTGTGTCCTTCAGCGTAGTCATTAACTGCAGCCTCCAGGAAGAACTTATCTATATTTGTACAAAAGGAAGACACTAAAAAAGTTATCTAATGCAAGTTAGTTATTAACATTTCATTCCATTTTGCACGAACCTCATTTTCCTTCTGTCCAAGTCCTCCTCCAAGAATTTAAACAACTTAATAATGAGGCTTTCTCTCCTAAATAACATCAAATGCAAGTTTAGTTTTTACATAATCCCACCCAAACAGTAACATGCATACCTCAAACCTCGCTACAGTTCTTTGTAAGTGACTTTGACACAAGGATTCTTGGACCAAGCTGCTTTTCCTTTAAAGATCCTAATTACCCCAGCACGCTAATTAGGTAGTCAGTAAATTGCTTAAACCTAATGAGACCTTAAACATAAAGAGACAAATGAAGACTCGGGGAGGTGCAATTGACACAGATGAACTCAGGCTCTGATACAGACGTATCAAAGTCCTTATTTGCAATACTTTGAGCCTTATTATATATTCTGAGTTTTTGGACTTTTTCTAAATTCAGGAAAAAAAAAATTCAAATCCTGATGGAAATATTTACTGCAATTTCATCAAATTTGTAGAAAAATCCTCAAAGCATTTAATCTCTGCATATGTTTTTTTTATTGGTGACAGAACATAATATGTATCTTCTGTAATGTGACAGAAGAGGAAATAATTTTTTGCTGCAGCGATGATGCATTGTTTCCAGGCAACGTGGGCACCCACAATGGTGTGTCTCATTAGCTCCTCTGTTTTAAACTATCTTAAAACCTAATGAACTCACTCCCTCAGCTGTGATGTCTAAGTCTGAGAGGGTCTGAACTTGATCTTTTCCTCTTTACTCTCTTTTCTGTTCATCTGAAGCCACTTCACTAATCAGTCCTTTAGTATTTAAGCCCGCAGTAGGTCACCAGTTTTCTCCTCTGAGCCCAGTGTCGTCACTTTTCAGTGTTTTGCTATTCCTGACGAGTCCCTCCTATGTATCAGGTTCTGCTGCTCCTCCTGAGTTGTTTTTCCCACCTGGTTTCTGTAACCTTACATCTTCTTTTTGAAGTTAAGCTCCCCTTTTTGTCTTTGCCACCTCGCCTTTGGTGTCGTGCTTTTTGGTCCTTTGAACTGAGCCCCAATTGTTCCGCTTTCTATTATAAAGATTTACAACATAAACCAACTTGTGCAGGTGTGGCTCTAGCAGATGAAGAACTCAAAGACCCTGAGCTGAGATCTTTGTAAAATCAGAGCAACTGTTCAATGCTAATGATTTGATTTTGTTGTTAAATGCAGCAGTTTATTTATCCGTTCTTCCATTTGTCAGCTTATCGGCGCAGGGATATTAAGCAGATCCTATCACGGTCATACCTAACAGTAGCATTATATAGAATAGTTATCCTACAAAGCATTTTTATGAACTTCACAGGGAAACTGTAGTACTTGGGTAGAACCCTCATATACATGGGAAGAACATGCAAACAAGTAGAAAGGTTCTGGTTTAAAATGCATCCTGTGTTTTAATCGGTTTCCTGTTTCTTTCCTTGCTCCTATAAAGAAACAGTGCAAACGAAAAAATGCACCATCATGAAGCCCAAATAGAATCATTTTGCTGAGGTTCGAAGAGAAAGACTGTATTTCTTCCTTAAAAGGATGTCTGAGAGTACAATCAGAGGTGAAAGTGTCACCTTTGGCACCCAGAGCTATTCAGTGTCCCCATCTTGTCACCTTAAACCAAGCGGTCCAAATGAACACTGACCCTCGGTTCAGGAGCCTTTTTTTGTGGACTGAGTTGTCATTTTTCTTTCAGAAAAACATACTTTAAGTCAAATCTGAGCTCGCAAAAATCCTACAAGAGGATCTCTATTGCTTTTCTCTAAGAAAATGGAATGATGCATAACCTTGAGTTCAAGCTTGCCACAGTTTTATTAGACAGAGATTTGAGTGCTTCAGCTCGGCTATAATCTCATTGAAGTCACAGAATTTGCAAAAGTGCTGACACACAATAAGATTTTTTTTATATTTTGTCATATCATGACTATTTTAATATATTTTAATTGTATTTTATAGGATACACCAACATAAAGATGGACGTCAATGATAATGAAACACACTTTCAAATTTTTATAGCATTGAAAATGTATTTGCATTCAGACACCTGGGTCAAAACTTTGCACAAATACATTTTGCTGGTTGGGCTGGGTGATAAAACAATAATATGTATCACAATATCAATAGAAAATACTCCAATTCAGAACCTCATGGCAAATGAGGTCAAGTACTCAACCAGCTCATCAATCCATTTGGATTGTGGGAAATGAAGGAATTTGTCACTAGAAATGTAGGTGTCTGCAGACTGTGAGCACAGAGTCTGTGCAGATCACAAAATCCGTATGAGTATGTGGGAGCAGTTTAAAGATAGTCACCGTGCTCCATAACTGCTTAAAAATAAAAAAGAGCAAGGTGAAGGGAAAAAAAACGAGTGCAGAAACTCAAAGGGAAAGTGTGCATAAAAGCGGAAAGGTCACATCAGCAGTTTGGAAGTACATAGGATATTTAAAACTGAAAACGCTATGAAGCTTATATAAAATACATATATAGACTCGCCATACGTTCAGGTTTGACTCTACCAGATTTGCACATCCAGAGTAATGCATGTTGTGTTCCATCCTCAGAATAAGACTGAATAAAATGTCTGTGAACATAAACTTTTATGTCTCGCAGAAGTTTATCAATCCCAATTTCACCAGAACATTCTCAATATGCCTCGATATAAATGAAGGTATTGTAGCTCTGTCTGTTTTTTAGGTTTGTGTTATCCTGTTGAAAGGAGAACCGCCTATGTCTTATGACTTTAGCAGCTGCTAATAGGTTTTCTTCTTGGACAGCCCATTGACTCCTACCAACTTCCTGATCTCTGCTGAAGAAAAGCATTCCCAAAGCATGATAAAACCATTACAATGTTTTGCCTTGGGGAACGATGTGATCAGGGGGACATGCAATGTGTGCAAATGGCATCTAAAGTAGGTCCCAAAACCACTTTTCTTCCTACATTCCCAACATGGCTTGTTGCAAATGCAAACAGAGCTTCTTATAGCTTTCTTTCGGCTATGGGCTTTGTCTTGTCTCTCTTCTATAAAGGCTCGCTCTACCATGGGCCTCTTGGCCACATGTCTTTTTGCAATGCTCTCCCTGTTTAACCTGTGTGTTTCAAGTGGACACCCATATTTCGATGACTTTACAACTGTGTTATACTATTTTCACTTTCAGATGATTGAAAAGTTCTTCATGACATATTTAAAGCCTTGGAGACCCTTTTAAAACTTAACCACGCTTTAAACTTTTCTCTGTGTTTCTTGGTCTTCATGGTGCTGTTTGTTCAATAATGATCTCACCCAAACCTCTGAGGCTTGATTTTTATGCACAGGTTCAACTTCTGAAGGCACAGCAGATATTATTTAGGGGGACAGCCACAAATTCCTATCCTCTTATTTCATAACAGTATGCCTAACATAATAAACTGAGATTTAGGCTAACCTGACATAGTGAAAATATGTATTTAAATAGACAACATGGCAACAATAATCTGTAAATATAAATGCAAACTGCTGGCAAGTGTGTCTCGAGAAATGTGGGCTTATTTCTGTAAAGTGGTTGATGTGAAAAAGGAATGTGTGTGTGTGCTTTTCTTACTCAGGGTTGCCTTTGCCTGAACACTGCAGAGAAAACCTCTGCCCCTCTATTGCCATCCTCTCCTCAGGGGTGATCACTACTTCAGGGGCATCTATAAGCAGAAGATGAGCACACGCAGACAGACACACACCGACACACTGCGGTTACATAACACAGGAGTAAGAGCTGTACATACATACCACAGACAGTCCCATTCATTCCTGTCTCCATCTGCTATCGTCTGTGTTCTGCATGCATCATCTTACTATGACATAACCCCCTCACACAATGGCATTGCTTTACCTCTGAGCTGCAGTACCATGACCTTGCCCACAGGAGGGCAGTATTCATACAGAGTCCACATCTTCAGTTAGTGATTTCATTTCAGCTGATAAAGTGTTCTTCTTACCCACTGTGGCTCAACTCTAGCTGAGTGCAGCAGGCGAGACAGGTAAAATTTCTGTCTTCTTCTTGTTATAACAGACTGGGACATTTTAGATCAAACTACAAAAGAGGTGGATGGTTCTCACGCTTTTTAAAAAAAAAGCTTAAGAAAGAATATAAAGAAGCAGCTCTGTTAAACTAGCTTTAACTCTCCTCTCTTTTCTTCAACCAGCACCTGTTGTATCTTCTCACCACTCATTCTCCCACCAAACCTTCCAGTCTCCCAGTTGACTTACACAACACCCGCAGAGACTGCTCACTCTTCTTCTCCCCATGTTTCACAGAGTCGTGATCGACGACACAGGAGACTTTGGTGTTATCGTCGTTAGCAGTCACTTCCAGGGTGAGCTCGCTGCTGACGTTGTAAGTAGGGTCATCTGGAACGGACTCGACTACGTCAGGGCGCCCTAAAGTGAGGAGACAAGTACAGGGAAGGGTTAAAACTGAAATGGTCTAGTGATCAGGCTCAGAATCAGGGTGTGGTGATGGGCTCGGACCCCGACCCTCTGAGCTACATAAAGACATTTACAAAATCGGCCTTCTACTACCTGAAAGACATTTACAGGATTAAGTACAGGATTAAGAGAAGCAAGATCTGTTTATCTGTGTTCATCTTTAGTCGCATTGATAACAGCAACAGCGTCTTCACGGGTCTGCCTAAAATATTTCTGCTCTGCTGCAGCTGATCTAGAATGCTGCTGCTGGTGTCCTCACTAAAACCAGAAAGATCAAAGCTGAGTTATAAAGTCCTTACACTGGCTCCGTGTATCACAGAGAATATACTTTAAACTACTGTTGTTAGTTCATAAATCACTGAATGGCTTAGCACCACAATACATCAAAGATCGGCTGTTATTTGTCTTCTGGTTCTGGTTTGCTGTGCAGGCACAGTACCAGAACCAAACATGGAGAAGCAGCATTCAGTTTCTATGCACATCAAATCTATAACAAACTTCCAGACAACTCCAAAACAGCTGAAATATTGAGTTCGTCTTAGTCTAGACTATATAACCATCTGTTTAGAGTTCCTTTTGAACTCTAAATAGTGGAACATTAACCAACACAAATGATGTATATTGATGATTTTGATCTAAACACTGTATGTCTCCAAAGCAACCCACGCACCCCACAGTGTCACGGCACACCCACAAAAACATCGAGGTATGACGTCATTGACCTTCTCCAAATCCTCGAAACACATGTGAACCAGACTGAACTTTTTATCAGTGATTGTGTTACTAATATCACAAAATAACTGTCATTTCATTTATTGAAAGGTCATTCTTTGTACAAATACATCCGAATTGTGACTACAGTGATATAATCTGTCGGTGCAAATTTGCAATCAAAGTATTCCACTTTCCTTACTGCACCTCAGCCATTGACTAGTCTGAGAAAATTGCCTAGCAACCCCCATTTTATGATCCATAGCTGATCCACATTTAAGCCCATTCATTCAGCTTAATTATCCCAACAAGTTATGGGAATATCAGTGGAGGAAATGGAAGCAATTTGTAGATGTTATAATGGACTATGGGAAACTAAGAAAAGTCATTGTGCACTATTCAATAAAAAGGAAAATAAAGCCCTGATGACAGTAATTTCAGCCCTAATTGCCTTCTATTTTAACTGTTTGTGGCACAGTTTGAGTATTCAAAGGGAATTTGTACCTTCGGGAAATTCACAAAGGTGGTAAAAGCAAGCAAAGTTGAGTGAATGTGTCCTGGTAAAGTCCTAAATTAGTGATACAAAGCCAATACATATCTTGTCTGATGCTGTTTGCCTACATTTCAATGAGAGATCCACATGCATTTTGTAGTAGACAGATAAATATTCAGTCTGCCTAAATTAAAGTAAATATCATAAAGTTTATTCATAGTCTATGTATTAAGTAAATGATTTTAAATAACAATTTTGTTTAAATTAAACCAGGCCAAACGATTTTGAATTCTTAAAAAGCACAGTCATTTGCATTTTATAAACTGCACATAAAAAATACCCTCTGTTGAAGGCTGGTGAAAATATAGTACAGGGAAAGAAAAACACAGAAAAAAGTGACCTTCTGTGAATTAGAGATGTCAAGCAGGTTAGATATTCTCTCCTTCAAATCTTCCAATTGTGAATCTTTTCAAGAGTTTTAAAAATCTTAATAAAAACCACTCAAACAAATGAAGGAAGCTCCCTCTCCTACTCAGTGCTGTGTGTTGACTGAGTGTGAAATGAGAGAGCATACATGGCATTAGAAGGTTTTTCGGTTGGCTTGTCCATATCAGTTTTTCCACAATCCACGGCGTTGACCCTTGGCTTTGAAATGCTGTTTCTATGTGATTCTTCCAGTCAAACTTTATTAAAATATTGAGAAATGCCCATCAGGTGAACACTGACTCATTTACAATCCCAATTAAAGTTATTTAAAATCTTTTTTCTGTCTTGTCAGTCACTTTTGCACTAGAGCTTAGCGTGCTCTAAGCCAGGCACTCGGTCCAAATCTGAGACTTTGCCTGAAACTTTGACTTTTTGCCTGAGACATTGTAAAATATCTACTTGTTCACTATAAAATGCAGATGGCTGACAGGAGCTGTGCTTCCATTACAACTACGTTCAAAACTGTTGATATTCCTCTAATGTTGTAAAAGCACAATTTCACTTTTGCAGTGTTTCCATTAAACAAGAAGCACAATTGTAATCATATATTAATAAGTTTGTTCACACAAGTCAATTAAAAACATGCTGCGCTATCATTGTCCTACCACTTCCTGTGGTCGTCTTCTTCTTCTTTTCCACCAGTAGAAACATCCAGATTTTGATCACATGACTTTTGTAATGCAATAAATGTGTTATTTTGCATTTATAAAATACACTAATTTCAATACAGTCAAAGAACCGCCTCATCCTCGCACAAAAACGTTTTATTGAAAATCATGACTTTCCATTAAGTACATTTATTTTTGTAGTTAAAGGGTCGATGGAAATGCAACTCCTGAACATGTCAACACAACAGTAGGGAAGACCATAAAGGACAAAAGTTTGATTTTTTTTTTTCAAATCTTTTTCCACAACAAAATGTTAGTGACAGGAACTCTGTGAGTTTTAATTGAATACTTTTGCACTAAACCCATAACAAAACAAACTCAGAATCGCATGATGGCAGCTCTGTCATGCAAATGTTGCCTCATTACTCATAACCTTGTCTGCAAACGTCAAGTAGTCTTCAAACTGCCTGCTCGTGTTCATGTTTACCAGCCAGGCAAGTCTGTAAAGTCTCAGGCTGAGGGACATCAAAGGGACAGGAGAGGCTAAAGATCTAATGCTGCTACCCTCAGCTTTCTTCGGGCTCACTCGCTCGCTGTTGCTTAGGAGACCGTTTGCATTTCACTTGGTTATAAACCATCGCTTTGGACAGGAGGGGAAAAAAGGGGGCAGCTCTGCTCACAGGGAAAAGAACAAGCAATCTGGTGAAGCCACATTTAGTTGTTTAGACTTGTTTGTGCAATGTATGCTTTTGTATTGGCTGTTTCGGGTTTTCTATTTTTTCAGTTTACATTTCTGAGAGCAGGAGAAAAATAATCGAGTATGCTTAAGTGAGCGTACGAAGCCACAAAATCAACCACAACTCCAGTATAAAAGCATAACTGTGGTTGAGACTGTGAATTCAAGATCTCCATCTTTTGCAGGAAGACGTATCAGACCGAGTGGTTTGGTTCAGACCGTGAAAGTGGTTCGTGAATCTTGGAGAACGGGCCAGAACCTCGGCACTTACTCCTGCATGAGTTGACAAGCACAGTCGCGAATGCACACATGAGCATGGGCGCATGTAGGTCAAGCTTATGAATAACTACCCTCAGAGGAGACAGAGATAGTGGCAGGGAAGCACACGGAAAAACACACACACCTTACGTTTCTTTCTTTCATACTCTGCTGCCCTCCCTCCCTTCCTCGGCCCTCTACCTCCACCCACACCAGAGAGCACTTCAAATACCTCTGAATCTAATGACATCTCCCTTTTTATTACCATAACCAGTCCTCTGACCTGCTGAGAAAATTAGTTTACTTTCCAGGTGCATTTCAATAAGCCAACGCCAGGCTTTTCGCTGCAGCCTGTCTCTCCCACTATCCCTTCTGTCTCTGCACACACAAAGACAGCATATACTGGCTTTATTAAAGACAATGGATCTCCAGAATCTAACCTTGGGAATGGTGAAACCCTGTTTGTTTACCCACTGGCTCTTGTGTACCACTCTTATGAAGCCACACATCTTTGTTTTAATGGGGATTTTCAGCCCCAAAGGGGCCCGAAATGAATTCAAAGCGTTCATTAAGGAAAATTTAAAACAATATATTATGTTTTTCCCCCAAATACAGAAATCTTGTGATTCCCTTTTCTCCAATTCATTATAATATCAAGGAAAATATAGACGTCTGGTAAACCTAACAGAGCAGTAAATAAAGAGTCATAATAGGTTTTTGACAAAATTCCAGTCAAAAACTGGAATTTCCAAGGGTTAGCTGTACCCAAAACTTTGAAAAATGGAAAAATATGTATTTGTGTATAAGACAATTCTAATACCTTTCATACAACTGTAAACCCCGTTGGCTCTGAGTGCTTGATTTAAAATTAGATTAATATTGAGCTTTTCTGCACCAAAAACCCCAGGTTGGTCTAGCATAAAACAAAAGAAGAATACCTTAAAAATACTTCATGTGAACCCTTTGGTACAGTGCTGTATGCCTGTTTTTGTTTTTCTTTTTATAAAAAGACTTTTTAATGAAAATCTGGTGGCTTCTGACAGAAAAACCCTGCAGACCCACCAGGTAAAAGCGAGTACAGCTGCATCATTTATGGGGAACATTCACATGAAGCCAAACAAGTTACTTACTGCTTAATTTGTTTCTAGGAACAAGGCTGGAAAAAGGAGAGCGATGTCCATGGAAAACGCCACAGAAGCTGAGAGACGACTGGATAGAGGAGAGTTGTTCTGAACGATAATTATGATCCAGTTTCTGAATGTGAAGAAACATTTCAGCATGTCTGTTGCCCTTTGAAGCCATCTTAAAAAATGGGACACTAATAACTATCTGTTGGTGCTACTGTGAAAGAAAAAAAAAAAAAACTGTCGCCTTCTGATTGAGTTCAATAAACTGAACCAATTTACTGCTCTTCCTCTCTGATCCAGTCTGATTATTGTCCTCTCACTTATTTTGCAAACATGCTTGACTTTATTCAGTTGTTTTTTATGTTTATAAGCTTCATTTTACTGATTGTCAACATTTCTGTGTGATATTGAGATTAGCTAAAAGTGAGCAAGCTTTACAGTATATTTTTGAACTCTTCATCTGCTGATCAGTATTCGCACTTGTGGGTTCTCACTGCACCAATAAACCGCCTGTTCCAAGTAGGAGCTACGAA